ATCTGTCGCTGTCGACATGTGATTTCCTTGAACTTTGACATGAGGGCATTTTTTTATATGAATGTGTGATTGCTAAAGAGGCACCACATGGAGGACTTCCCCGGCTGCACCTTAGGTCGTATAGGGTGACACGGTCTGGCTCAGAAAGTATCTCTGTTTCAAGCGGCTCCTGGGCGCCATGGGAAATGTGCGCCGCCACCGCTGACGCGGGTCTGTCCGCAGCTGAGGGCTGTCCGAGGGCCTGGAACATGCTATTGCTATTACTGCCCTAACCCATTACTCAGGTGCAAAGACAGCCATGTCTGGCTGACAGTGCAATGTATTTAACGCCTTGCGCAAAAGAGCATGCATCTGCCGTACGAGGATCGGTGTGCATGAGAGGGCAAGCTTGTTTACCGTGTTGTGGGTGTAATTCACGCACGCTCGCACTGTGCGTGTCTGGATAGCGTGAGATAAGGGAGCCGGTGACTGACGGAGGAGACAGTGTGGCCCTGAGGTGCAATCTGAACAGGCCCCTGTGAGAACGACACGGTTCCCAGGCGGTTCCCAGGCGGTTCCCATACGGTTCCCAGGCCCGTGTGTGTGCGTAGCGGGATAATAACTCATGCTGCCTCCGACTTCCTCTTTCTGTCCCTGCCTTTATGACCCCGCACTGACTGCCAGGCAGCTGCTCCTGTCCTCTGTTTCGGGGACGGGGACCGTGAGAGAAGGATGAGGGATGTCAGGAAGGATAGGTGGGCAGTCAGTGACTGAGGGATTGCAAATGATGATCATTAATTCCATAAACACAATTGTCAGGGTCCTCAACCTAGGGAGCGAATGTGCTGGTTTATAATTGACTTTGTGCCTCTGTGGTGTGACTGTCATCATTGTTTGGACGGTAAGTCATCTTACCTGGAGACTCACATGAAAATTAGTCACTAACAATTACTAACTAAGAGGCAGCTGCAAACCTACAGAATAATGCACCCCCCCACCACCACCAGAACCCTAAAGCTGAAACAAGAGGTCAAGACAAATTCTGAAATTTAAAGACCTTTTTTTTCCCGGAAATGTATAAAATCTTAATTTCTTTTTGCGCGTTCGAGCAGAGGAGTCAGGGAGGGTTGGATACCCTGGCAGATTCGGGGGGCCCAGCACTTTTTTAGAGTCCCTAAGCACTAACAGATATATATCATACATCACAAATTTTACCATGGGAGACCCATTTTTCTTCAGATTGAAAGGGCCAGCCCTAGTAGGGAGGGTCTGAGGTGACGTTTTCTCACGGGGCCCAGAATTTCTAGCTACCCCCTTGCTTGGGAGTGATTTCACAAGGGCCCCACCTCACTATGCGCTATAGTCGTCTGCGAAGAACCTGTCCTTTGGTGTCGGAGGGGGAACGGGGAGCTTGAGTCGGCACCCTCTGAATGATTTGGGACGGTGACACGAGTGACACACAAACCAAGCTCACGGTCTGGGTTCTGTGGGTTCCGAGCTGTAAAGCGTGGGGGTCGCCTGCTTCCCACCGATCTCCTCTAACACACTCTGCTTTATACTCCAGTCAGTCAGAGGTTAGTAGAGGACTTTGTCCCCCTGCTACCCCCCCTCCCCCCCCATCTTATTCCGTCCAATCAAAATCCATATATCATTTGTTTCATGTGTTTGAAGCATTCTATATAATTCCATATAGCCATATGTTTGCAGTTTGTTTACATTTGGCAATTTATATTAAATATGCAGAATGCTTTACAGTCAGAGCTTTTCTCAAGAGTAAAGCTACAGTCACTTCCTCCCTTCAGTTGCTTGTCCTCTCTGCTACCTGCTTCTCTAAATGCCATCTCTTCACCTTCTAAAGATATGTTGGAATGACTTTAGACTTTTAAAGACTTGCTCAGGCCGCTCGCGGAACAGCAGCGGGCGTCACGGATCGGCCCGCCACGCGTTATGTTTTCTCTGGCTCACATATCGAGGAACTCAATATTATGAACCTGGCAGTAAGGCGTAGGTGAAGGAATTGAAGGTCTCCACATATCACACTCTGTTTCAGTTAAAGTGGCTTTGCTGTGTGTTGGTGAGAGAAAAGGCTGATGTGAGCTCAGTATGGGTGTCACATGTTACACTGGCTAAATACCTTTTCCGTGCTTTAAATACACTGCGATATCCTCCGTATTATTTCCCTTCCTCTTCCTTTTCTTATCGTTTCCTCGCTCTCTTCTCATTCACTGCTGATTGTTTACAGGCTAAAACTGGCCAGCAGCTTCACTGGGCCGGGTTACGTTTCCCAGTTTCGTTCACGTCTAAACCCATCCTGGGTCTAAGAGAGCTTGGATGCATGCTCTGCCAAAATGCCACTTTCAGTGGTTTTAGGTCTGCTAAAATCGGCAGCTCTGTAAACTTAATCTAATATATCTAATATATCTAACATGATGTTTTGCATATTTATGTATTAAAAATAAATCGGTCAGTATTGCTAATTAAAAATGAATGTTGTATCTTTTTATATATATAAATAATGAGTGTATTTTTTACTCTGTGTGCACAGTATCAGTGACCCCTGACCACACAAAGTATTTTAATCCAATCAGCTTCGTTTTCACATGACTGTCATGCTCTCACTGCTGCCATGGTAACTGAGAGAGGAGGAAGGATGGGGGGGGAACAAGCAGTACAACCCTCCATGCATTCCTTTCTCCATTCTCCAGCTCACTTTCCACTTCTCTGACTTCTGTTTTTTAATGCTGCCTTTCTCCATAGTATCTGGCAGGTCTGAAGTACACATATAGACTGTTAGATCTTCCTTCCAGTAGTAGCTTCCTCTTCTACAGCCCAGCTTCCGCTTTCACATGCATGGGTGGGTGCTAAGCTGCATTCTCCCCGCAATCACCTGCCTCAGGTCTCCTAGAACAGTGTATCCCAACCTCGCAGGGAGCTGGGAGGGAGAAAAAACATGGACTGTCCGGCAGAGAGCTGGGGGGAGCAAAAACATGGACTGTCCGGCAGGGAGCTGGGGGGAGCAAAAACATGGACTGTCCGGCAGAGAGCTGGGGGGAGCAAAAACATGGACTGTCCGGCAGGGAGCTGGGGGGAGCAAAAAACTTGTCCCGTCTGGGGGTCCCCAAAGACCGGATTTGGAAACACTGGTCTAGAACACCCTCAGACACAGACCCATAGAACCCTCTGCAGGAATTTAAGCCAACTTTGCTGAGATTTAGGAAACCCAGAGAAAAATGATTTGCAGCATGAAGCAAAAAGGGAGGCATCAGAATGGATGGATATTGGTGTGGTTAGACCCCCGGAGGAGTAATACGAGAGATCATCCTGTCCTGAGGAGCTCTCTGCTTTGCTGGTTATTCTGGGGTCTTGTTGACTGCACTATTAAATGGCAATTAGAACCATCACCAAGTAACAAGAACAAAACAATTTGCATGTCGTATATCCCTGTGCTTTAGCATACAGTGGTCACTCTACATGAGCAGGGGGTGTGGCTAGAGATTTTGGGCCCCCATCCCAAACTAATCCAATCATCTTTTAAGTTTTTTAGGGCCCCTGTCCCCCCCGGGCATTCTAGTCATGCTGGCATATTAGTCCTAGCAGAGTTTCTGTATGGCACTCTCCCTCCAGTCTTAAACTGTTGGTTTCCCCCTCCCCCTTCTGAGGTGAGCCCCTCTGATGAGGTCCGGAAGTACCCCCCCCCGCATGCCCACTTGCCATCTGTCTAAGCCAGCCCACCTACCCATCTCTCTGCCTACCTGCTGGCTTGTTCTGTAATTTGCCTGTCTACCTGTGCTGTCCCACTATCTGCTTGAATTTACACTAATGTACGTGACCTTGTACCACCCAGTGCCGGCCAGAAGATGCAGTCCCCTCTGAGTCTGGTTTATCGCTCTCTCTGATGGATTCCTTCATTGCCACATCAGATTCACTCTCTGGGGACTTCGGGCTGAAGACTTTGTCAATGTGCCTTTTAAAAGTTATAATTCGTTTGAACCGGAAAAAGGAAAAAAGTTATCACCGATTCCGGATTCAGCGAGTTAATTATTTCACTCAGTGAGTGTTTTCACATCATTTTATGCATTAACTACATAATACACTGAAATAATGGTTTTAATTTTTAATAACTGTAAGGCATACACTTGCCTGAGAGTTCATAATTGCAAACTCGGTTGAGCCTTCCGCAATCCAAAAAGTATACAGCACATGGCATGTTTTCCCCGATACACAGCACCCCCTGCTGGCGCAGACGGAGCGCTGCAGTCATGTGGAGGGGGCGTCCGCTGTTGGTCGCATCGCAGCGTTGATACCGTACAGATTAGGGGGTCAGAACTTCACAGGGGTCTTCGATATTTAAAATGATAAAATTATATGAAGTGGTGCCGGGAAAGTTTGTTACACACTTGGTGCTTCCTTCCAATGAACTAACACGTCTATATTTCCCAAACTTGTTTTTCTAAAACATGATTCTTAGCACACATTTTATTTTTAAATACAAAACTGCTTCTTTATGCAAATATTTGTATTATTATTATTATTTAAACAAGTACCTACAGTGCTTTAGAAAAGTCGATGTTAGCTGTACACGCCATACATTGTTGCGCGTGGCAGCCAATGCAAAAGCAGAGCGTCACGACGTAACCTTAAAACGTTACTGGGCAGACTGGGCCACACACACTGCACCAGAGTAAAGCTGCAAAGCGCAGCATAAACACGGCAAAAAAAATATAGTAAGCTATTAAATATGTTAAACAATAATTTAAAGATTGGAATAGTAGTTGACTGTGATCTAACTTTATAGTTAACACCGAGCAATTATCCTTCGCCGTCACTGCGGGGTTACTGACTGGGGCGATACCGTGCGCTACATTCACAGCGCCTGTGACCATGTGGGGACCTCCAATGACCTGGAGCTCCTCACTGAAAACGGCCACTCTTGGGTGCCAAAGCCGCAGATTTGACTAGAGACTGTAAATGGAACTTGATACCAAAACAATGACACGTTTAGATTCATAATAATACTCGGCTTGATTATCCAGCGACAAAAATCTGTGCCAGTCGCTAACTTTATTCTTGTAACTGCAGGTTTCATTTGCTCATGTACATATTTGCTTCAAACTGCTAATAATGTCGTTTTCTTGCTTTTTTTTAACATACCATATATGTAAACTTTTTACAATGTACCGTTAAGTTTGTCAGTCTATACATATGGGAATCCAGTCCGGTAACACTTATGGTCATCAGCTCAGACACAGACATGACAAACGTCCCTTGTGCTCGAGGTAAACATGACTCCTGTTAAGATGACACAAAACTCCCATTGAAATCTTCAGCAAGACCAAGTCACAGCACAGAGACAGGTGTACTCAGATCAGGTGCCTCATCACCCCCCCCCCATCGCTGCCATGCAGCACAAAAGCTGAGGCAGGTGAGGCACCCATTAGTGTTTAGACACAGAGACTGACACAAAGAGCACGTCCACGCACGCACATCCTCTTTAACTTAAACCAGATCCTCTCTCACACTCATACACATCAGCCATTATCAAACATGTTGTGCTGCTGTCAATTAAACCCAGCATTAAGAATAACATTAATAGTAAATTACAGATCTGTGTCGATCTACCAACAGAAAGGCATCCAGCCTGACAGTCTAAAGAGCAGGATGGATCCTGGTGTAGTAACGTAGCCTTTTATGTTCTGTTCCTCCATCTGGACGTTCTTCTTCAGACCTCCTTGGATCCCGCTTCTCTGCCTTCCCTTCACCCCCCTCAGGTCCTAACCGCCCCCCCCCAATTCAGAGCCACCAGAAGCGCACGTAGACGATGAGCATGATGAGGAAGACGCCGCCGGCGGCCAGCTTGGCGTAGGTGGAGCGAGTGTTCAAATATTTGGCGTCGCTGCGGTACTTCTTAGACAGGCTGGACAAGTTCATGGCCTTGGAGTCCAGAGCTGGAGGACAGCGGAGGGGGCGACAAAACAACGACAGCCATTATCAGCCTGCTACGCTAACAACTTTAGCAGATTAATGTTAGCCTAGTAGCGCAGAGCTGATTACAACCAAGGGCAAAATGAGGTATGTGCTGGAGAGCGAGGGCTGTTTACCGGACAAGGCCTCCCCTCTCTGCAGCACCTCCTCGATGTTGGCCACCATGATCCTCTGCACGTCCTGGAGCTCCGTGTTGATGCTGCCGAGGTTCCTACGTGCTCTGCTGTCTATGTACGACTTTTTCGTTTTCTGGATGTAGGTATCTGGTAAAACACACAATAGACGAGTCCCTCAGCAGCAACCATGGTTTGGCGCCAGAATACTTTCTGTATCAGCATCATGACAATGATCCAAAACAAATCATAGGGCTGCATAAGCTTATTACGTGGAGTTATTTGGGTTAAGCGATTTGCTCAAGGGTAAAAGCAGAGAGCCTTCCCAAGATCTGAGCTGGGAGCTTCTGAGATCTGAAGTCCTACTTCTCTCCTCAAACCTTGCATCACTGCAGACCAAGTCAAGATAACAGTGAGGAAACTGCACACAGGTAAGGTGGTGAGCCAAGCAGCGCTCAAAGCACATGCCAACCAGGAGGAGGCGCAATCGCCCTCACCAAACTCTATGAAGGAGTATGGGCGTGAGACACTATGGACCTTCTTCCCATGTTGCTCGTGGAACTCAGCTTGAAGGTCCTCCAGGTACGCAAAGGCCAGCTTCTTTGGGAAACCCGCCTCACACAGGACCAGGTAACACACGCCTTTCTCAATCACGTAGCTATGGGGACACAACAGAGGAAGAAACCCTTTAGTGACTGGGGTGTCCATTCCGTTTTCAGTATGAGATGGTATTACCATACAGCATAAGCCACCAGTCAAAAGTTGACGGCATAATCAAATTCTAGGCTGTTCTTTAACTCTGAATGCAACAGTTAACAGTTTCATCCTATGTATTTAATGTCCCTTGTCGAAAGAATGCCTTGAATGATCTTTCCTGTTATAGCTGGTAGAGAAAGTTATGGTGATGACTAATAAAGGTACTCAAATACTGAACATACTGTAAATGCAAAGAATATTGAGTGTATTTCTAATAAATATGTAAAAGTGAAAATTGAAAATGTATAAAATTGTTAACCTGGGTAAGGGTGCACAAAGGGGTGTGATTGGCATGTCGAGGTTAGCTACTCACTGGAAGGCCATGGCGCCGGCCTCCAATGTGCAGCGTGTGGGGCTCTGCTCGTTGAGTTTGCGAAACAGCAGCTTGGCCTGGCTCTGGTACTGCTGTAGGTCCCGGCCCAGCTGAGCCCCGCGTCACCGGCAACAGTTTTTCAAACAAAATCATTTTAGCTTATTAGCAAAATATATTTTTCCCAAGAACAAGGCAGTGTAGAAAACTTCACCGAATCAATTTTCATCTTTCCGTATTTGTCACAAACCTTTTCACTTCCCTTCACGAGAGCGGGGGAAAGAGAAGCACATTGTGAGAAACCAGTTTTCAAAAAAACGGGTTTAAAAGGTTTAGTTGTTTGGTTGCTAGATAACTTCCACTGTAAAAATATTTACGATATCTATACAATTCATATTTGCGATAGTTTTGCATAATAGCTTCTATCAGAGTGATGACGTAACATTTTTAAGTGGCTTATACATCAGGGACCAGTGCAGAGAAGGTGACCACCTGATCTGACAGCAGTGCAGTACAGTACTGCCTATCCACGTCACGCCAAGGAGTTACCGATTCTTCATTTAAGTTACAAAGCAACTTTTGACTCACGCCAGCTAGTGCAAGACAAATGGCTAGGTTCCCAACAATCAGGAAACCACTGTTCAGAGTCATATCAAGAAACATATATAACAACTGAATATGTAATATCTGAAACTGACACCTATTACTAACATTCCATGTTATACCATCTTATTAACCAGGACACGTTAATTGTTGATATTCAACGAGCCACTGAAGCTGAACATTCATTCGCGATAACATTGAATCTAACCTGTTCATCCTCCTGCATGGAGGCGGCGAGAGGCAGCCCGTCGGCCAACCGAGCGATCATTGTCAGCAAAACCATTTTAAGCCAATTGTTCTGACTATCCCAAAAAAACAAATCTGTAAGTTACACAAAACTCGCCCCTCCTGATATCGCTACAGCAGCAAGTACTTTAGGTTACCAGCGCAATGAAAACACTGACGCTGAGTTGGCCGGAAGTGATGCTGGTGTGTTACTCAATTACGCCCGCCCTTAAAGTACAACGTGATTTGTATAAAAAAAGGTTCCGGCCAAAAATAAGTGACACAGTAATTGTAATCAGACTCGAACGTCAGACGAACAGTAAATCTTGTTTCTGCTATTGTTCTGTGTCCTATGTGCAGGGGCGTTGCTAGAGATTTTGGGCCCCATGAAAGCATATCATATTAGGCCCCCCAGTCCAAACCAATCCAGGTATTTTCCTAATTTTTTAGGGCCCCTGTCACTCAGGGGCCCTTGGAATCGTCCTAGCTTTCCTCCCCCTTACGGCGCCCCTGCCTATGTGTACTGTATACGTCCTGCTACTTTTAAAATAAGGAAACATGCTATTATATCCATCATTTTGTACGTTATATTTGACTCTTTCAAATTGCAAATCTTAACTTTGAGCACTATTTACTCTGCACGAGATTTACCTCTGTGCTGAATAGTAGTTCTCCGTGTAGTTCTGTTCTCTGTGTAGTTCTGTGTTGTATTGTGTGTATTTTGTGTAGCCTGTAGTATTTCTGTTTGTTTTGCACATGGAGCCAGGAGAAACGCAATTTCGTTCTACCATGCACTGTCAAACTATGTGGCACGAATGACAATAAAGTTTACTTTGACTTTTGACTTTGACTCTTTCAGCCTACGACCAAGTGCCGGTTGAAGCTAACACATCGCCTAAGCCAAGCGTCACAACGGGGTGCACCGTCAAACTTCACCTCCCATTTCTACTTCGCCGGTTTGGTAAGGAGGTGCTTTCTCAGATGCTGGTGCCCTAGGGGGCTGCATTACATTTAGCAGATGTATTTAAACAAATCAATACACAATTCACACAGTCCAGGGCAGTCCAGTTATTCAGTGTACATTATGACTAGTAGGTGTAACTGTGGTTTAGGGTGGGTACTTTACAGACTTTAAACCATTGGAATTCTGGTCCTAAATGCAAAAACGTAAAAATATACACTGATATACACTGTCCTTTCAGCAGGTTAATTTTAACATGCCTCTTGACTAGTGAATCTCTACTGAAAATTTTAGGTTTAAGGAAAATGTCTAGTATTTTTTTTTTTCCTTTTAACAAACAGGCACTTAGATACGTGTTCCAAGCTCATCCACAGTGATCTTAAGCTCCATTCAGTTCAATTTATTTTTATATAGCACCTTTCACTACAGAGACGCCCCCAGGGCACGTTACATTAGTGTATATATTGTGTATACAGTGCCACATTATTTATACAGAATAACAAAATAATAAAAACGGGGAAAAGGGAAGACAAAGAAAAAAAAAGAATGAAAGAAAGTCAAATGACACACATCCCTGCTCATCCTTGTCATCCCTCAGGTTACTCCAGTACATCTGGTCACATGACTAAGAGACACACCCCCATGACGTTCAGAAGAGTGCACTCATTGCACCTACTCTGAAAAAGATCAAGGGTCTTTCAAATATTGGAGTTGTCAGAGAGAGACATCAATTCCAACATCTGCTGACATTTTCACTCAAAGAATACCCTGCTTCCTATAAGAAGCTTCGATCTGAGAAGCTCAAAAAAAAAACGCTCAATCGCACGCAGAATCAGTGTCCTTGGCTTGCCGTTTCAATCTCAAGATCTGTTTAGTCAGTGATTGTAATCTCCTATTAAGAAATCTCCCCTTAAGGTACCAGAAACTCAAAGCACAATGGATTTTGTTCCCTTCACTATCTGACCAGAGAGCTGTCAGATACCTGCACTGCTTTCAGTTTTCAGGCAGGTCAACAGGAAGTGTAGAAATCACGTCACGTGTTCTGCCTGCTAACCCATGAGTGCTATGAGGAAGAGGAACTGAGGCCAAATAAGAAGCATATTGTGTCAGTGTTTTTGCTGATTTTTCAGTTTTTCTCAAATTTTTTTCCTCTAGTTTTTGATGACCTAGAATCAGAATCAAATCTCATCACATGACATCCAAGCTTTCTGTACAAATCACATTTTTGACCACTTAACCAATATATTTGTGCATAGAAAGCCCACGATAGTCTCTGTAGAGCCAGGTGCCAGGGAACAGCCAAGCAGCCCCTCCCCCAGCCCTGACCCCGATAGGCAGCCCTCATTGGCAGGCAAGGTTCCGTCACATGACCTGGGTGGCTTCAGCATGTAGCGTGTCAGAGCACATCACACAGTCTGTAACATGCACTGCTGTTACCCTTGGATCACAGGGCTCCGGAATGTCTGCACACATTCCAGATTTTCATTGATATTCCTACAACAATGGGTAACTGCTTCAATTTAGATATGTATAAGCTGCAAGGGTACAGGGAATGTGCAATTAGCCGCAGCCTGAAAAAAGGTTCATGATAGCAACACATCAAATAGGTAAAATAATTGGACTGTTTGGTACTTTGTTACATAAGTTATTGAATAACTGTTCAATAACTTAAACATTCACTTCTAGAAGTTACAGTGTTTAATGCAGTGTTCAGGTGTCTAACATGTGATATCCTATAATTACTGCAGAATTATCCATATTTTAAACTAAACCCATTTCATATTGATAATGCCGTAATATTCTCAAAAAGTGGTTAAAATCTGAAGACGAGTTCTATGGTGTCACAGCTTAAGATTTTCCTGCGATATGCGTTACACAAGTTCAAAATCAAATGCACAGAACTAGTGTATAAAATAAATATTCATTTAGTTGACACTTTTTCTTAGCATCAATCTGCAACATCATAAAACCTTTTGCTGACATATTTCCAGTGCTAAGGTCATGGGAACCAGGTACATACTTGCATGCTACATTATCAAGTGTGATATGTTGCTCGATAATCTGTGTTACTTAACACGTGAAAATGCAGCCAGTTTCCCACAAACTAGTGTCTCATTTTCAGTCTACTTGTACTTGCTACATATCACTAAATCCTGTATTGCTTTCATTGTTAATATCATTATATTGAAGTAATTATCTGATCACTGAACACTTGGTACTCCATATTGATTGTATAATGCAGGTGGGTAATGGAAAATGTCCACATCAGAGGGCTTCACAAATCATACCCAAATCAAATCAGTAACTGCTTATCCAGCTCTTTCATTTTCCAAATAATTCTAAAAATTAGACAAACGGAGAATCCTTACCCACAATCAGTGCGGCTAAACTCAGACACAGGCAGTATCACTCATGGTATTTAGTGACTGTATGTTTTATTGTATCCGTTAGTTGTTCAGCAGCTCTTAGATATTACAGTACATATGTGATAATGAATAAAACAAAATTCAAGGATTAAGGTGAAATGATTAGGATAGTACTCAAAGATGAAAAGTAACATCAAGAAAGACAGTGAATTAGGCTCACAGAAGACATCAAAAAGTGACAATGAGGTGACATCAAGTGTCCGTGTGTGTAGCAGCTGAAATGTTTCAGAAACGGCCTGGTAACTGAGAACTCGTATATCTCAGCTCTGAGCTTGACTTGCTATGAATGAAAATGAACATGGAGACACCACTAAACTGATAGAGATTATATAAAGTATGTTCGCTTGTAAAAAAATCTTGTTAAAAATTCCCTTGTTCCTTTTGTAAACAGATACAAAGACACAGCAGGATTTGATCATGTGTTAATGCCTTGGCAAGGGGGGCGATGTCACAACGCCGCTTGGAACGTTTGAGTGCAGCTGAAAGAGGGGGCACGCAGTGCTTCCCAATTTTGGGATATTCTCCACTTGCTGCATCCCACCTCCGCTGTTAGCTGCGATGCTCCCTGGAGACCTGCTGGATTCGCTCCGCAACGGAGAGGGTGAGCTGAGCGGGGCAGGGCAGCAAGGGGAGGCGGGGGGGGCCGAGAGGCAGTCCGGAGAGCGTGCTCATCAACTGCTTGTTCATGGCCACGTCAAAACCTGCAGACAGTGCACAGCACAGCACGGCTTGTCACTGCATGGCTCGGCAGTGCACGGCTCGTCACTGCACGGCTCGGCAGTGCACGGCTCGGCACTGCACGGCTCGCCAAGCAGGTTCGCACCCAGCCCCTCAGAATCCACCCCCCAGACAGGTGTACGAGCCACACGGTCACGGTCACACTCACCCTGCTTCACGGCGGGGCACAGAAACTCCTGCATCTGCAACTGAACGAGAGGACAGCAGTCAGAGCTTCAGGGTACAACGGGCAGTAAAGCTGAACGCCGGGCATGCGGGCGCCTACCTGCAGAGTCCTGGCCTGGCTGACGTCCCCTTTGCCGTAGGCCGTCAGCAAGCCGCTCACCAGGGGCCCAAGGTAATTAAAGGTGCTGAGGAGAACAGGCCGACGTTAGCGGCAGTGCTGGGATGGCAGGCTAACCGAGGCCAAGGGGTCAATCAACTAACCCTTTATAAAGCTGATTACTGTAATAGCTGTAACTTACTGACCTGAACAAATCTACAGCACAGGACTGGGCCAGTCATGTCTGAGTGAGGTCACAGTGCTGTGCGAGCTCATAAAGTGACCAGGTCAGGCTGAATAGTTAATATGGGGAGACAGAGCAAAGTGGGGAGGGGGGGGGATTTCGGAAGTACAGACTGACCTCCCCACCGCGCCATCGGCGCCCATGGATAACGCCGCCAGCAGCTGCTGTAAGTCGAAAGAGAGATAATCCCCCTTCAGGGCAAAATGCGACACAAACATAGGGAACGCAGCTAGCAGTGATGTCACCTCCAGACACGCACTCGATTGGCTGAGCCGTGAGCGTTACAGCGGGCTGATGCAGTACCGGCAGAGAATGGTGACGAGGCACACTGACGGACACGGATTAGGTCCCTGGGCCAAATGACGGTACAGGAATGGAGCGACATTCAGGGAGCCAATCAGCTTATGGCATGCAGAGACGCAGTGGAACAGCAATGAGCAGGCAGACGGTCACGGCTGTTATGAAGCAGAAGGGGGAAAGCAGTGGATTGAAAGCATTATGCGGTATTATGCAGCCATACGGCACGGGGCACAGAGCAGGCACAGCCATACAGCATGGGGCACAGAGCGGGCACAGCTATACAGCACAGGGCACAGAGCGGGCACAGCCATACAGCACAGGGCACAGAGTGGGCACAGCTATACAGCACAGGGCACAGAGCGGGCACAGCCATACAGCACAGGGCACAGAGCGGGCACGGCCATACAGCACGGGGCACAGAGCGGGCACAGCCATACAGCACGGGGCACAGAGCGGGCACAGCCATATAGCACGGGGCACAGAGCGGGCACAGCTATACAGAACACATTCTGACCTCATCCACGCCATAAAGCAGCGACCAGTGTGGTTTTGCATAAGACACACACTGGCCAAAATCCATCAGGTCACTGCCGCTGAACTTCAGCCCTCTGAAGGTGGGAATAAGCGCATCGATCCCTTCCAGCACATCCCTGGCTCGCACTGGAGGATGAGAAAAGCGTGGGTACTCCAAGGCAGAGTTCACATCAGGTCAGGTATTGAATAAAGGACAGCAGTGGCAAAGGATGTGATGAGCTGGTTACTGAAACACCTGCATCTGACTGCAGGCAGTAAGTGAGCTTCTCTACCAGCAGCCTTTTCTGGCCGACAGGGAGCCATATCTGCAGCTGCGATAGCAGTCTGCTAAAATAAGCCAAGGACTCACAGCTGAGCCCCGTCACGGCAGGAATGTGATAGTAGTAAAACGGCAGAGTTGGCGCCTCAGCAGCAATCTCCTGGAGGAACCGGCGAATGCCATCTGAAACGGGAAGAGGAAAATAGACAGACGCACGCGGCAGCTGCAATTCATCCCGGACACGCCGATTCAGGGGGTCATCGAGAACAGGGGGGAAACAACAAAGACACACAAAGATGCGGCTCACAGAAAAGGCACAGACCTGCAGTAGCAGATTTGAAGAATGAGGGAGCGATGACAGCTATCCCATCAGCCCCTGCTTCGGCTGCATGGCGAGCCTGTGGCAGAGGCACCGATTAGCATTCAGGGGTCCACCAACACTGTGTAACACCACTGCCCGGCGCAGGGACAGATGGGGTTGCTGCTGTAACGAACAGCGTATACAGGAAGTGGTCTGTCACAGCATTTGATAAGTTGAGGTAAGTTCTTACCAGTTCTTGAGAGTCCTTGAGACTGTAACAGCCCACATGTACGATCACCTGATTCAGTCTGAAAAGGACAGCACCATGAGCCACTCACGCTCGCACGCTCACGCTCGCACGCTCGCACGCTCGCACGCTCACGCTCGCACGCTCGCACGCTCGCACGCTCACGCGCTCACGCTCGCACTTACTTGCCCTTGCCCCTCCTACACCACTCTTCTGTCAGTCTCTTTCTCTCTTCAGTGCACAGAGACACCCCCTCCCCTGTTGTCCCATTCACTAAAAGGGAAAGAGTAGGAAACAAACAGCCAGAGTTGAGTGAATCTGGTCCAGAGAGTAAAAGTCCAGACCACGATTTTGTTTTAACCAATCAGTTGAGTATAAAGAGTCACATCCACCCAACGAAACACAGGCCAAACCTGTGTCCTCTGGGTCTCCTAATCACAGACAGCTAACATGTCACAGTGGGGATCGAACCCGGGTTCGTACTACAGGATGTAGTTTAGTGTGTCATAAAAAGATTCACATATGGAAACAAATGTACATAAACTGTCATATATTCACGTTGGGCAACACTGGCGCTGGCAGACATGCCGCAGGCCAGACCACATATCTGCGTTCTCGGAACGGCCGTAAAGTCACAAGTCGTATATGTCGTAAGTTGAACGACTTCCTGTACAGGCAAAAACAAGTCAATGCATGTTTTTTTGTAACACACGTCTGCCCAAACTCACCAAACACATTCAGGACACCTTGTTTCTCGACCAGGTAGTCGACGTAGGGACCGATCACAGGCAGGTTGGGCTCACTGCCGAATGGAGACTGAAGTTAACAGAGAGCAGAAAGCAAAACACTACAGCAAGAGCAGAGGGAGCGCGTACCCTTGGGCAGTAAGCGGGGTGAAAGTAGCAGCCACCAGCCCTGTAAGTTTCCTGTTTATGAGGGAAGCCATCTGTGGAATGCTGTAAATCCCTGCAAGGCAAAAATCGAGAAAGAGTCACGTTAATAAAGCCATTACTGCTCCTTATTTTTAGATGTGATTGCTGAATAACGACAGAGTGACATGATGCTCCAGCAGTCAGCTCTAACTAGCAGGTTTAGTTACAAGCGCGGATTTTAGTATTTTACTGGAAATAGCCTAATGCATACACTACACAGAAAAAAAAGCCAGTTCTGCAATAACCTAAATCTGTCTATAATCTTCAGTAGTCTAATCAGTACACCCTCTACTCACCTTTGTACCTTGTAGTTGACCTACTGGGAGGTTCAAGCACAGACTAACCCAAAACGGCAGTTGAACTTCCTAAAAACTTTTCCCCAGGTAACAAGCCGTTTTTAAAAAGTATTGAAGTTTCTGTATAAGATTAATGACCTAACTGATGCCGTTTTACAGCAGAAATCTGTCGCTAAAAGTATACCGATTTTAGGCACCTCTTTTCCCGTAAACCTTGAAATATGATATCACCTCTTTAGTTTAATTACGTTTACATTATTAATTAGTACCTTTAGTCTAGAACTGGAGGATTTAGAACAAAACGAAGAAAACAGGATACACTACTTAACATTTTTGTCACGTCTCCTTCTCAACCTTAACAATAAGATTCGTTTATGTTAATATTGTTTCTTGGTTATTTTTCAACGGAAGTAGGCCTATATTTATCATAATTTACCCGAAGCGAATATTTCATTCTCAATGCAATAGCATAACTGCAATAACTTCAATTCGTGCACTATTTTCTCCTTACGGTAACGGTAAAACGATCAAGTGCAAGTCAAGTCACAGCAGTCATTATAGAACTTGTGGTTTTACCGTTTGCATATTACAAGTAAACACACCTTGGAAACGAACTCGCTCAGATGTTCAGTCTTCCGCAAGCTATAACTCAGACACTAGAATACACTAATCTTTCCATTCTGCTGAGTTTAGAAACAACCACAAGCTTATCATGTGATATTTTGTCATATGACAAGCTTCATGGGAAGGGTAGTTTTAAGAGAGACGGGCGTCTAACGCCGACTAGCGTTTACGTTCAGCGATTGCAGGTGATAAACGTCCATCCATTTCCCAGTCTCCCTTATTTGTACGAAGCAGAAGACGAAGCAGAAGAGCGCCTTTAGACGAGAGGACCCACACATAATCATACATTATGCACTCGGTTTTACCTTAATAGTTTTCGAAATTAAGTAGGAAACCCACCCTGTCAGAATTATTATTTATATGTATTTTGAATGTTTACTTTTTGTGATGGTCTGTCTGACAAATGCAGCAAACAAACAGGAAATACTTTTTATGGAGAATGAAAAAATATAGTGAAAGTTCAGTTCGTCATTCATCTTCTTATTTCACGTTCTGAGTTCTTAATTATAATAATGCTGCAAACTTCCATCCATCCACTTTCCATACCGGCTTGTCCTATTCTGGGGCGAGGGGGTCCGGAGCAAAGCAGGGAATAACCAAGGCGGCAGCCCAAAGCGCACACACGGACAATTTGGTGACGCCACTTCACATTACCATGTTTGTACAGTGGGGAACAGAACTGTACCAGGTCTGTACCCTTTTTCTGACAGTGTAGTCCCAGAGGCGTGAGGTAACAGTGCTAATGACTGTGTCACCGTGTCACGCGGTGCAAGCTCTGTAAATATGGATAATCTTCTGTAATACATTCGGGGTAGCAAGGTCGTTAGGTCGACCACTACAGACTGCAAAACAACCCGATCCATTCCTGATCATAGGTGGCTATAGGCCTTTCGCCCAGGGGGTGCAAGGTGAGAGAGCCCAACCAGTCATTCATCCAGAAAATAATAATAATAATAAAATAGCAAATACAACAAATTATTATAACACATTAATTTGACTAAAACAAGCCATTTTTTCAAAAATAACATAATAATAATAATTATAATAATTATTATTTTATTTTATTGAACCTATATAATGTGCCCCAAAAAGCGTTTTCAAGCGTAATTGTGCCCCCAGTAAAATTGCCTGTGTTCTTGGCATTTTACCATCCTCTACTGAAGGGAGACAGTCCCTCAAATATTTTTATTGTCTTTGAAATAGTAAAAAAACATGGCTTTTGTTTTCTCGCGTTATGAACTACATAAATAAATAAAACGCCTCGCAACACCCAGAATTGTCAAAAACGCACAAAAGCTACCGTGTTGTACATTACTGTATTGTTTTTTCGGCGCTATTTGGTATAAATGTTCACATCCCGGATAGATATCTCATCTCTATTTTTGCGTCCTTTATTCTTATATTGCAATGTTGTTTGTCCAAGCATCCCTGCAAGATGATCGTTTCCCAAATACATGCGACAATAAAACTTTAAACTTTTTGAATAAAGGACATGGAAGCGCAGGGACTTGCAGAGGGGAGGTGATGGTGCACCTGTCCATCGACGAAAAGTCTGTGCAGGACACTGTGGAAGTGTTTAGTTTTTATGTCAATTATGTGATACCGTTATATGGAGGCGCAAAGAGTTAAACCAAAGGAGTCACCCAGCCACATTGCACATGGAACACGGGGGCGGGGCAAGCGGCAGTACCCGGATGCGGATGTTGATGACGTCTGGTGTCGCTGTTCTGCGGTAGTGGCAGCTGGGAAGAGACACGACCAGGGTTGGGGGTCCGGTACCTGGACTGGGCCGAGGGAGCTGCGATTGCCAAACGTCTTGCGCGAAGGCAGCACCGTAAGAAGACAAAATACTCTCATCAGGGTCAACGCTATTGTGTTTTTTTTGTTTTTTGTCTTTTTCTTTTGTTATCCTAACATAAGGCTAAAATGTGTAAAAGATAGCCAGAAAAAGGAGGAAATAATAGACAATAATAAGGTGACTTAAACTAGTGATCTCTCAGGCTGTACAATGGGTAGAAGTCCTGATGATAGATAAAATAAAGGGACGCGTCTCTCGGTGGATAACGGCGGCTAGAGGGCTGGGCAGGCTGCACGAAGGGGGAGCATTATCTGAGGTTAGCTAGCTAACAGCTCCGAGTAGGACAGCTGGAAACCGGACGTTTACAGGCGAGATATCTGGCCAAAGTACACAAAAAGATGGGATTGTGTATAGGCGAGCGTAAACGTGTGCCGTCCGCTTAGGTGGAGCGGCGCCTTTCTGGCGTTTGTTCAGTCCCGGACGCCGGCGGAAAGGCAGAGAGATAACGGGATCAGGAGCGATTAGCTCGCTTACTATGGGGCTGCTGGGTCGGTAACGGCGGACTGTCATTAGCTGGTCGTGTGCCGACGTGTCACACATTAACGGATCGGGCTTCGGAGTCACGCTGGGTGTGATCCAGACTCGCAGTTTCGGTCTGCCTGTGCCAGGTGAACCCTGATAACTTCACAAAAGACTGACACGAGAGGCCACCCCGTATGTCACTTGCGTTTGTATCTGAGGATGTAAATTATTCAGTGTTTTGTTTAGTGTGTTTGATTTTTTTTAACGGTATTTTGACATGGGCATTTGGAATAAAAGCTGCTGTAACTTTCGGTAATAGTGGACGTGCTGGTTGTGAAAATCCGGATTTCCACCTAATAGACGAGCACGCTTCCGATCAGTGAGCAGTGCTGATATCGCAAGTGAAATCTGAGTAATGTTTCAGTGTGTCAGAGATGCCAGCTGGGAGCCCACCTGCTGATGTTCCCTGCCTTCACCTACCGAAGAAACCGTTTCAGGATTTAATCGGAAGGCGTGATCAGTGTATAGGTCTTTGCTGGAGTTCCCCTGAGTTCGGGTCTCAAACTGTCAGGTTTGTGTAATTGCCCCAGTGAAAGACGCTCAGTCTCCATGTGATGCCTGTCAGGGGCTCTTGCTGACTAAGTGGCAGGTTCTCAGTCATGTGGACTATGCAGCCCCTTCGCCCAGTGGTGGGGGCGCCTCTCCTGCTCCTGCTGCTGGGGACCATCTTTCGGCTGGTGCTGACCATGCAGCGAGAGGAGCGACACAGACTCAGGTAAGCCAGGGACAAGGCTGGCAAGGTGGAGCCTGCAGTTGGACACCTGTGGCGTCAATATCTTCTGTTTACCTTCAGGAATCAGGTGGTGGAGATGTTTGACCACGCTTATCAGAACTACATGGTATGTCACAATCGCTCAGTGTTTGCATAATTCTTATGTGTATTTTGAAAATGCAAAACAAGTTTTCTTAAATATTGATGGTGGCTGATTGTTTCTCTTGTCTGAGCAGCAAACTGTAGAGTGAGGAAGGGTCAGCTCTGTCAGTAGGACTTTTATAGATTTAAGGAAGTCGAGGTATATTTCTTTGTTTGGTGTACATCGGTGAACTTTATAGTATCACGGCTGACCCAGATCTGCTGACATTGGTCACTGAGGAAAATGTTGAGATTTCCGTTTTATAACGAGTTTGCTGGGAAACCGGTTTGTGCCGGACTCCGCGTACCTGCATGTAGGAAAGCTGAGGTGGCATGCACGATCACCGTGTCGCGTGTGTGATCTCCACGGCAGGACCATGCTTACCCGGCGGATGAGCTGATGCCCCTTACCTGCCGGGGCCGTGTGCGGGGACTGGAGCCGAGCCGCGGGGACGTGGACGACGCGCTGGGAAAGTGAGTGTGGGGGTGCTGTTTCAGCTGAATTGATGATGCTGGAGCTTAAGTGTGTTTCGGTTCGTTTGTGAACGGTGAGGTCATGCTGAGTGATGCAGATCACATAGCCTGTGGCAAACGCCCCCACAAGCCCATATAACAGCTCCCCACCGTGAGGCGCTGTGTCCCTGATGGTCTGCCTTCCTTTCCGCAGGTTCTCCCTCACCCTCATCGACACTCTCGACACTCTGGCGGTGAGTGACCTTCCGGTCTCACGTCTGGGTCATTGGTGGCATCTCGGCCCGTCACTCCCTTGTGACGTCTCCCCCCCCCCCCCAGCTCCTGAACAAGACGGCTGAGTTTGAGGAGGCAGTCCGGAAGGTTCTGAGTGACGTGCGGCTGGACAACGATGTCGTGGTATCCGTATTCGAGACCAACATCCGTGTGCTGGGGTGAGAGTGGGACCGCACTGGGCGCAGGGTGCAGTTTTGAGGAATTATAATGGGAAAAGCCCCCCCATGGGACATGTTTAACGTCTTCTCCTCCATTTGCTGTGGCAGAGGGCTGCTGGGGGGGCACTCCATGGCCGTGCTGCTGAAGGAGGGCGGGCAGCACATGCTTTGGTACGAGGATGAGCTGCTGGACATGGCCAAGGACCTGGGAGAGCGGCTGCTTCCTGCTTTCAACACCAGCAGCGGACTGCCGTACCCCAGGGTGAGCAGAGACACACACACACACACACACACGCGCGCGCACCTGCCCGCCCCTGCAAACCAGGACCCCACTCTTTAGCCGCCTGCCGTCAAACTGTGGCCCCTGACTTCATTTATTTATTGGTGGTATGGAGCTCAGCCAGTTTGGCAGAAAAGGTACAGCGATTAGCATTCCCTGCTCTCACTTACCCAGTGTCCGTCTCGGCGCTCTTTAAGTACTTAACACGGCTAATTAGTATCCACGTTTAATCGTTAGCGCGGCCCTCCAACGTAAATCAACGGATGTTGCGTTGAAGCAAAGAGGCAGATCAAAGTCTCAGATGCAAAATGGGAATTATTGATTTCTTTCTGGTAGAAGAGCTTTTGTATAACTGCTGAAAAGCGCTGAAGGATTTAATAGGTGTGTGTGTGTGTGTGTGTGTGTGTGTGTGTGAGTGTGTATGGGTTTGTAATCTGTCTGATCCTATTCCATTCATAGATTAGGGCCATGCACCAGAGGAAATGTAGGATTGTAATGCTTAGAAGACTATTCTGTGAACTTGTCCTGCTTTATTTTATTTGCATTGTATGCGTTTTAATACCCAGCACTTGTCCTAACAGTACTATGGAGACGCTAAAGAAAATTATGTTTAAATGATCTTTATGTTGCCGTAAAGATCTTGCCGTGCCACAGTGTGTCAGCTGAGCTGTTTCAAAACCTTTCCTGATGTCACCCCAGTATTTGCCATGACTTTGAATTTAGAATTTGAATTAGTGATTGTCATTGTTGACAAACCACAGCACAACAACTAAATGTGTCCTCTGCCTTTAACCCATATGTGACAATGTGACATAACAGGGGGCAGCTAATTCAGCGCCCGGGGAGCAGTGCTTGGGGGTGGTACCTTGCTCAGGGTACCTCAGTGGTGCCTTGTTGGTCGGGGATTCGAACCTGCAATCTTTCAATTACAAGTGCGCTTCCCTAACCATCAAGCCACCACTGCCCACATATCCATATGGAATATACCAGTGTATTTATCTCCAGCATACCCTGTTTTATCTAATCAGTACCTCAACTTATCTACCTAATTAATTAATTAAGTCAGCTGGCTGTGAAATTTAACAACTACATGAAATGACTTGGGGAGTCTCTGAGGAGGTTTGGGAACTGAAGCGGTGATCATCTAGGCATCCAAAGAGATATCAGTGACTTTTTGGTGAACAGAAGAATTTTCTTTTGTGATACCGTTCATTTGCATATGCTAATAATACATTGTGGTTTTTTTCCTGAGTAAATATACACTTACCTAGATAAACAGCTTTAAACAATTTCTTCGTTGACGTAAGATTTCTTCACATTGCTGGGCATGGTATGGTTCTTAAAATACATGTCGGTGGAACACTGCAAACCTGCATGAAGTGCTTCAGATGTGTATCTGAAATATGTGCCTTTTTAAAAATGCAAGAATGAAGCATGAATTTACAAACTAGTATTTAGTTCCAGCATGGAGCCGTTTCAAACTCGAAGTAACGACAGTTATTATTATCCATCGTTTCTTTGTTTTGATTTGCTTATACCTGATGCGACCAATTTAAATGTGCTTTATTCCCATGGTAACCTAAACAAATAACATCATTTTTTCCCGGATTGCTATCGTTGATGTTTTTTTCCTTGCGGAGGGGAAGGGAAAAAAAAAACAAAGACCATCTTCAGACCAAGACTCCTGACACAACTCTCTATGCACACACATGTAAGTAATGGCTTTTACATATATTTCTCTCTTCAGTCACTTTTATCTGTTTTCTGGTTTATTATTTGCGATCACAGTTAAAGCAGATCGTGGCGACCAGCTTAATTATAAAGATCGTGCTCTAAAAATAACCTTAGTCCCAGTTATTGGCACAACACCTGCATAATACTGTAACCATTTCTGATGCATAGAAATCAGAATTCTGGGTCTTAAAGCCCTTTGGGACAGATTGGCACGCACACGATGTGCAATTTAGAGACGCCAGTCTGCCTGACTGCATGTCTTTGGGCTATGGCAGGAAACGCGAAAGGCAGGAAGAACATTCAACACCTCGCAAAGGTGAGCGGGAGGGAATTCGAACCCCCAGCGCTGGAGGCGTGAGGCAGTAGTGCTATACACTGAGCTGTCGTGACATTAAATATGCACATTAAAATATCACATCAAAGGAAGGAGACAAAAATAATATTTTTCTGGGTGCGTTTAGGCTCCTATGTGTCCTGCTCTGGTTGACGTGTCAGTTCTGCGATAACATTTAACGTATTAACAGGCCATCCTTGTCTTGCCCGTATTTCTTATCACTGAGAGCTCTGTTTACAGTAATAAAGTTAGCTTAGTGAGATTCCCCCCCCTCCCTTTTTTAACAGGAAATTTTTGTTAGCTGGAGAGTTAGCCGAAAGGTCGCTAACAAATGGCTAGCGCATGCGTCGTGTCCGTCCTGCTCAGCGTCCCGCTGAGCCTGTATTCCGTCACGCTCCCGCTGTTGTTCTGCTCCGATCTCAGGAGACGCACCATCCTAACCAGTTATTTTTCTCTCCGCTCCATCCCAGGGGCATCTTCCTGGAACAAACGGATCCGCTGCCAGGATCCGGGAATGATGTCAAACTAAAGTGTGACCGGTGTGAGCAAGCCTGGATGTTTCCAACCACGAGCAGATAATCTATCTTCTACCATGATCTCCTGTTACAGGCTACCTACCTCTGCCTGTCCATGCGAAGGGGGCGTGTCTTCATGAGGAATTCATTGTTCACGTGAAACGTGCCTCTTTTAAGGGCAGCATATTTGCCTTGTTATTCATTTTGTTACTTGTGTAGGGAGGAGGTATGTTATGTATCGATTTGTGTGCAGGTTTCGGCTCTTTTGCTGTCTGAGCAATGGGAAACGACGTCTGTGTTGCTGTAAAATGGCCAGTGATAACATTGTTGTAAAAATGTTTCATTTCAAATAAAATTTGATGAGTCCTTTGAGGTTCGACATGTCTGTGGAGTCGAGCAGCCTCACACCGAAACTCACAAGTGTCCGAGCGAGCAGGTTGTGTTTGGAAATCTGTGGCGTTGTGGCGAGAAAGGCGGGCAGCTCCGTACTCTCCTCTGCTCTGCTCCCTGCTGTATTTGTCCTTTGCTGTTAAAGGTGTTTTTTTTGGCTAATTAATGTGTCACATGGCTATGCCCGATCCAAACCATGATGGTCGTTTTGTATTTTGTCTAGGGGGAAAAAAAATGACCATTTTGATAAGTGAACACTGTCTGTCTTCTGTAGGTGAATTTACGGCATGGTGTGAGGGGTCCTGAAACTCGAACGGGCACCGAAACGGACACCTGCACTGCCTGTGCCGGCACTATCATCCTGGAATTCGCAGCCCTGAGCCGTTTCACTGGGGACCCCATATTTGAGGTGCGAGTTAAGTACCAAACTCCCCTATAATGTCCTAGTTATGGCAACATGCGCTATTTTGTACTTGCCGAGGCTCCTGCCCCTACGGCCATTTTGGTCAGTCTGTGTTTATGAGGCGACAGGTCGTGGCTCCTGGGGCGTCCATCCACTGTGGTCTTCCTTCAGACTCACGCGAGACGAGCTCTGGACTTCCTGTGGGAGAAGAGGCAGAGGAACAGCAACTTGGTGGGAACCACCATCAACATCCACTCTGGAGAGTGGGTGCGCCGAGGTGAGGGGGGGCGGGGGGGGAGGGATGTGTCGCTTGTGTACTTAAGAAGCGGCTGTTAAGAAAACAGAGCGGCGGGTGTTTGCGCTGGGCGTCGGCGTGAGCTGGGCGGAGCTGATCACCTGCTGCTCCTCTGCAGACAGCGGCGTGGGGGCCGGGGTCGACTCCTACTATGAGTATCTGCTGAAGGCCTACATCCTCCTGGGGGACGACCTATTCCTGCAGCGCTTCAACATCGTGAGCCTTCGCCCGCCTCCGCCCGCCTCCGCCCGCCACGTGGCCCTCCTCTGCTCCTTACTACGCCGTCGTGTCTGGGTTTAAGGACACAGCCCTCCACGCTAATATTCCTCACTCAATTTCATGATCTGAGACGCACAGTCATCCCTTGACATACGTCCCATCAAACATGTTCCATCTTATGTCCCCGTAACAGGCTTAATAAAAAGTATGGAGGGACGTTTGGAGCAGACGTGGTGAACGTTAGCGGACATATTTTACCATGTGTGTGGCGAGGTCCAAAAAACACCGATTGTGCTGCCCCCACAGAACTTTATTTAAATGTGTGTGAAATTGTATCATGTTATGTAATAATTGAGAAGCGTCCCAATTGACGTATGTCCTAATTTTCTAAACGTAACCCGGACATAAGTTGATGGATACCTTTCCACACAAATCTCTCATGATCTTTTTTTTATCATGGAAATGCCCATAATCGGTAAAGGCTGATATACTTCTGCATCAAATCAGTGCCGTAAGTACGCTGTAGCTATGTGCTGCGGCGCAGACTGACATGCACCTCCCCAGAAACGCAAGTGAATGTCGCCGTGATGCAGACTGCGAGAACTGTGACCGGTCTGCTTGGTATCATTCATTTTTTATGAGGGTGAAGAAAGCAGATACATCCCAGGTGAAAGTGAAGCGTTATTTATATCTAGCATTAAATAACCCACCCTAGGCGTCGTAGTAACAGGACTACAAAACATTCAAGAATTTCACCTGCCTTCACTAAGTTTATTCCTTTTTTACTAGACTTATAAGAAGTAGGCAGCAACTTTAGGAGGGAAAATGCATAAAATGTGACTTTGTGGCGGCTTGACATTTTTCCAAATTTGTCTACGGGAAGTTTGGAGCAGCGTAAATGTAACCAGGACGTGATAAATGGTTACTTTGTTAAATGTTTGTTTTTTGTCTTTCAATTGTGTGATTCAACAATTGAATATGTCGCAGTGTGGGAAGACAATGAATGCAACGTCCAAAACTATGGACACAGACACAACAGCGTGCAAGTATTAATGCTCGCAGTGGCGTAGCTCATGCCGTAGCCTTGATGCAGAGGTATAAATCAGCCTTTGCTCTGTGTGGATCTGGCAGTGTAGTGTTAGTGTAGTTTTAGTGTAGTGTTGATGTAGTACGTGACGCAGCCCCGCCCTGCCATTCTGACCCCCTGTCTCTTGGCTGTATCAGCACTACGCATCCATCATGAAGTACATCAGCCAGCCGCCGCTGCTGCTGGACGTGCACATCCACAAACCGCTGCTCCCCGCTCGCACCTGGATGGACTCGCTGCTGGCTTTCTTCCCGGGGCTCCAGGTGGGCTCTCTGTCCGTGGCGGCGCCCGGGGAGGCCGCGCGTCGCACGATCCGCGATCTCCGATCTCCAGCGGAGAATGAACGGCTCTTCCTCTCGCCTCTCAGGTGTTGAAGGGCGACATTCGTCCAGCGATAGAGACCCATGAGATGCTGTATCAAGTCACCAAGAAGCACAACTTCCTGCCTGAGGTTAGCTCTGCGTTCTCTCTCCCCCCCTTCTCTTCCTGCATCGGCGGCCCCGTCCCGCCTGTCTGCCCCTCCCTCACTGCCTGTCCTGCTCCCTCTAACCCCTCAGGCTTTCACCACAGACTTCCGGGTGCACTGGGCCCAGCACCCGCTGCGGCCCGAGTTTGCGGAGAGCACCTACTTCCTGTTTAAGGTGAGTGTGGCCGCACGCATGCCAGCTGCCGTACGCATGGGGAAGCGGGGACTGCATAAGTGACGAGAGCCTTTCTCTGACCCCCACCCCAGGCCACCCGGGACCCGTACTACCTGGAGGTGGGCCGCACCGTGCTGGAGAACCTGAACCGCTTTGCCCGCGTCCCCTGCGGCTTCGCAGCCATGAAGGACGTCCGCACAGGGAGCCACGAGGATCGGTGAGGCCCAAGGGCTGAGGATTTGGGGCCGATTGTTCCTCTGTACCCCTGCCTGTCCTCAGTCCTTTCCTCACTCTCTCCCTGGCAGCATGGATTCCTTCTTCCTGGCGGAGATGTTTAAGTACCTCTTCCTCCTCTTCGCCGACCCAGAGGACCTGCCCTTCGACGTGGAGGACTACGTCTTTACCACAGAGGCTCACCTGCTGCCCCTGTCACTGTCCACTGCCCAGCGCTCGCGCTCCCTCACTGTCGCCAACACCACGGTATTCTCTGCCCCTGTGACACGTGTGTCGGCGCCCCCTGCAGGCCGTGTTTTTAACTTGCTGCCAACTGCAATGTGTCGTGTATTTCCAGTCCTGGGAAGAGCTCGACGATTCCAACTTTGACTGGTCTTGCCCCAACACCCGCCTGCTGTTCCCTGACCCCGCCTTCCCCCGCAGCCTGCGGGAGCCAATCAGGAGTGCCGTGGACAAGAGCTGTCCCCGCCCCGCCTCACGCAGGTATGTGAGATGAAGGGAGTTTTTAGCACTGCGTACACAGCAGGGCAGGTGGCCCGGCTGAGGCTGACGCTGGTCTCCCTCCCCCCACATCATAGCGAGCCAGGCCTGGGTCGCCCCCCCCTGCGTGCTCGGGACTTTATGGCCAACAACCCCGAGCATCTGGAGCTGTTACGTCGTATGGGAGTGAGTCTGATCCACCTGAAGGACGGGAGGGTGCAGCTTGTGCAGCACGCCACTCAGGTGACTTACTTGCGAGACTTGCCGTACGCACTGTGACCCGCGTCAGACACTGACCCGCGCTACGCACTCTGACCCGCGTCAGACACTGACCCGCGCTACGCACTCTGACCCACGCTAGGCACTGACCCGCCGTACGCACTGTGACCCACGCTAGGCACTGACCCGGCGTACGCACTGTGACCCACGCTAGGCACTGACCCGGCGTACGCACTGTGACTCACGCTAGGCACTGACCCGGCGTACGCACTGTGACCCACGCTAGGCACTGACCCGGCGTACGCACTGTGACCCACGCTAGGCACTGACCCGCCGTACAAGCTCCTCAGTGGTAATGTGAAGGCCGAGGTGCATGTCGTCTGCCTGAGATCTGCGCCTCTCCTACAGGCAGTCAGTGCCGTGGCTGCTGAGGACGGCCTACGCTTCATGCAGGAAATGATGGAGCTGTCTAGCCAGCAGCAGAAAGAGCAGCTGCCACCCCGCGCCGTGCAGATCGTCTCCCACCCCTTCTTCGGCAGAGTGGTGCTGACCGCCGGCCCGGCACAATTTGGGATGGACCTGTCCAAGAGCAGCACGGGGGTGAGCGCCATCACAGCCTTTCTGAATACCGGCCCCACCCCACCGCTTACATACGGAGTGATGCATCCTCTTGTCACTCTTTCTTTCCCCCTTAGGTTCGCGGCTTTGCGGCTGTGGCCGAGCCGTACAGCGGTTGCACGGAGCTCACTAACGCCGCCCTGGTGGAGGGCCGTATAGCACTGCTGCAGCGCGGACAGTGCATGTTTGCAGAGAAGGCCCGCCACATCCAGAAGGCGGGGGCCATCGGAGGGATCGTCATCGGTGAGGGCGCTCAGCGGCTAAAATGATTCATGTTGCTGTTATTTGCTTTGTGACCTCTAACGCACTCTCTCCGTCCCGCTGGCGACGGCAGACGACAACGAGGGCAGCAGCAGCGACACGGCGCCCCTCTTCCAGATGGCGGGGGATGGCCGCAGCACCGATGACATCACCCTGCCCCTCCTCTTCCTCTTCCACAAGGAGGGAAACATCCTGCAGGAGGCGCTGCAGGAGTACAAGGAACTGGAGGTGCTGCTGAGCGACAAGGCCAGGGACCGAGGTGAGAGGGCAGGAGGATGTGGATGGGGGGGGTTACCGGCATGGAGGAGGGCATGCACAGAGCCCTCGCGCTGACTCACTTCCGGCCGGTGGGGGGGTATATTCCGTTAGAGAGGGGCATCCCTTCTTATGTAATCTAATCTTCATTGGGCAGCGAATTCTGTGTAGCATGTGGGGGGAGGGGGTGCTAGGGTTTGGTTTGAAACTCCCCCCCTATTTTCAGTCCTTTTTATTCCTGCCCCCCCCCCCCGACTCCCAGTAGTGTAACCTCATCTCTCCTCTGTTCTTTCATTTCACCCCTCTGACCGCCAGACGCCATATTTAAGGGCCGTCCCCCCCCCAGCTCCCTCCTGGAGAGCAGTGAGTATCTTCTTTTCTGTTCTCATTTTCCCCTCCTATTCCTCTCTTTCCTGTCACCTGTATTAGTCTGAGCATCGGGAAATGTATAAATAAAAAGCAGGGCCCCGACATGTGATGTCCTTCTTGGGGGGGGGGGGGGGGCTCACCCTGCTGCCTGTCGGTTTCGGTCCGGCTTTGTCACGTGACCTTGCCTCCCGGTTAGTGTCACGCCGCATGTGAGCAGACGGTACAAAGCAGAATAGAGCAGCTGATTGTACAGTAATGGCCTGAAATAACTGCCGACTCAGAGTGTCACATGGAGCGGAGTCAACTGCAGGCACAGGGCAGTCGGGGGGCACAGTCGGGGTCTGCGTGACAGATCCGGCAGGTCCCTGCTTGGTGTTAGCGTGGCAGATTCCTCGAGGGGCCCGGCTGCCCTCCTCATGCCGCGCACTTCTCTCCCACTCGCAGCAGAAGGGGAGGAGGACTGCTCCCCTGAGGAGGACCTGCGAGCTTCCCCCAGTCCCTCCTCATCTCCGGAAGAGCAACAGCCCTCGAGGAGCACGGAGGAGCAGGCAGAGCCGGAGGCGGACAAGACGAAGCGGGAGGCCGAGGCCGAGGACACGGCGGAGGCAGAGGTGGACGGAGACTCCGCCCAGTCGATGGAGGCCCTCCTAGCGGACTGGAAGGAGGACCTGGAGGCGTTCCAGCAGATGGAGAAGGACGAGCTCTGACAGCCGCCCACATTGCCACCATCGCTGCCCCTGACAGCCCTCCCCCCCGCACTGGACTCAGGTGTGCCAGAGGCCACCGATGACCAAAACAAAACACCATGCCCCCCCCCCCCCGGAGGGAGGCAGACAGGGGAGAACCATATAAGACTGGCCGCCCTGGCAGACCCTGACTCCGGGCCGACTCAAATTCCCCTCCAGCTCCAGGTCACTTACACCCCCTCCCCGCTCGCTGCTGATCAGTCTGTGCCCAGTCTGTGCCCAGTCTGCCTTGGACCCCTCACATGGACGAGCCCGGGACCGTGACGTCCACGGCATGCCTCCATCACTGATTGTTTTGTTTTCCTCATGAGTTTTGTTGGTCTTCCTTCATTTGAAAGCGTTTTTTGGGGGTTTGCAAAGCCACGGGTTTTTGATTTGATTGACTGACTGTAATGAGTTTTTTTTTTTTTTTTATCTGAAAAATGTATTTGATTTGGAACTGATGCTTCACTGTTCGATTTGAGTGACTACAGTACAATGCAGCTCTGGTGCAAAGAATCAGAAATGCAGCCTTCTCAAGACTTCTGTATAATTACCTAATCATGTATAAACTTGTATGTATGTAAATGTGTATGTATTTTTGAAAGAACTGGAAAGATGTCGCTGGTGGGCTGTATGTCCACTTGGTCAATTTGCATATGGATTAGCCTGAGCTCAAGTCCAAATTGTCTTATCAGCCCAGCTCTGTCCCACGAAACGGCATGTGAAAGGGAGATGGGCGCATAGTGAGCCGTCCACCAGATGGCGCCATTGCATTAATAACCTGAATTAAATTTATTGACTGACCAGAAAATGGACCATTCTTGTTTATTAAAGTTATTAATAAAATTTCAAATTTTATGTGCCTCGGTCTTTTAGAAAATATATTATTGAACGATTTGGGGTAAATGCGTGTGGGGGATTTAAATTTATAGTATTATTAAAATGTTAAATTGTTCTTAGTTCAGCAGAACGCTGGCACAATTTTGGCACAAATACAGATTTTTTTTTTTTTACAGCTCGGGCGTGTTGATGGTCAGTTGTTTTCACAAAGAGTTTTTATGGTTTTAAATGTTTTAATGATGCGATTAAGCAGTTCGTATACAGCATAAATGTAAAATTAGCAAACGTAAGAAGTCCGTTCGGAGAGCTACGGCTGCGCTTCACTCTCGGCTCCTTTGCTCTGGTCTGGATGTTGTCCGCACGCACGCGTCAGGCCGAGCGAGGCTCATCGATTAATCGGGTCTGCTGGCTGTAATTCGGCTCTGAACCGCAGTCCTCAGCGCGAGGTCCCGCCCGTCTGTCCGCGCGAGGCTCGGCGAACTGCAGGCGAACCAGGCGGAACCGGCGCAGCCAGCGAAGCCCAGTGAGTCCGCGCTCGAAACGCTCCTTCCGTGGCTACGGACACACTTGGCAGGCGCCGGCCACACAGCGCTGTGTCCGAAAGGTTTATCTGTGTAGTTCACCGTTTCTTTTGTTGTTTGTTGTCTTTTTTCCTTTTTTATTTGCCTGGGTCGGGATGTGATTTCTGGCGGGTTTTCCGCTCTGTCTCGGTCCGCCTCTGGCCGCTTTTCGCCTCGGCTGCACGAAGCGTTTCCCCACCCGCGGACGATGGAGGAAGGCAGACGGAAAGGGGGGCGGGGGTTTAACTTGAGTCTAAGTTAGTTATTCTCGCGCTTGGAGGAAGCGATTTGGCCGGGCAGTGTGGCATATCCGTGCGGCAATCGGTTATGTCTGTGCACCGGGACGCCCCCCCCCCGTTCACTGGGGGCAGTGCGAGCCGAAGACACCTGGGCGCGCGGACACGAGTCCAGTGATCGCGTGTGTTTACAGCGGGGCACGCAGCTCAGTACTCGCCTTCCGGCCAAGGCAGTGCCGACACCGTGCACTGTATCCCGGGCACTGCCGCCAGTTACCTGCTGCTGGGTGTGAGGGGGGTGGGGGGATTTTGTGCAGCGTTCGTGTTCGGCATAGGTGGCTTTCCCGGGCGCGTGCCGTTCGGTGTATTTATTTCCTGGGAATAAGGTAAACATCGCCCCCCAGTCTTCCCCGATTACACACAGCTGTGCTGGGCGCCCTGGTAGCGCTGGCCGTGACGGCCCTTGGCAGCCCTGACACAGGCCCATTGTGAAAGTCCCCCCATCTGTGTCCCGGAGCTCGCCGGCGTGCGTCGGCCGCCGCAGGCAGTAATGCATATGAACTTTTAAATAAAAGCAGCGTTTTCTGGCGCACTGTCGGCTCAGGTTATTAATGCAGTATGATGGACACTTGTTGATGCGCTGAGGGGGTCCGGCGTGCTTCGGCTGACGGACGACCGGCCGGTCGGCGCTCTTCAGAAGCTCCTTGCGCTTCTTTATGCATCCGTGTCGTTGCTAGCTGCTTTGTTTCAATTTAGTCATCGCTAATCTGATATTCGGCTTTAATATGAGCCGTTATCGAAGACGCAGTCAGAGTGAATTAGAGTGCTGTGATTTCTATTTCCCTGACGTGATTGTGTGATTGTTAATCAGCACGTATCGGCTCTGCCTGTATCTGTCCTCCTCCACCAGCCTCTCCGCTGCCCTTCTAGCGATGCATCTCGTGTAGGACTCGAAAAATGCAGCACAACGGCTGCGCTTAAGTCGCTCTCTATGAGACTGGACGGTTCTATTAATAGTTGCCCTCGAACTTCTATCGTGGTCCATCCCACTCGAACCGAAAACCTCCATGCCTGGGTATCCCACTTTCTGCACTTAACTATTCGCGCTTGGTCATTTCGAGCATCCCAGAAATCACGACCTAATTTGGAGTTGGTGATGCAATGTCAGAGTGACATCATCCCGAGAGCAGGGTTTCCATGGTTACAGCTCAAATGAGCGAGTGGGGGGCTTGTGGTGGGCCCCCTTAAATGAGTGTATGTATGTCTGTGTATGTTTGCATTCTCTTAGATGTGCAGGTATATGCTGTGTTTGTTTTTATCTGTGTATGTACTAGCAATTAGGGGGTGATGAGTGCTGGGGGGGGGGGCATCAGATTAGGGGTATAGAGCAGCGTGGGGAAGGCATGAGGTCAGCAGAACCTGATCTGCACAGGGACTGACACTGCAACATAGAGGGCAAGCTCACCCAGCCTGAGGTGTGGGTGTGTGTGTGAGAGCGGGTTTACCTATCCTTATGGGGACATAATGTCCCCATAACGTGATAAATATCTGTTTTTTTCCCCTTATGGGGACCGGTTTCCTGGTCCCCATAAGGGAAAACTCTATTTTATAAAAATCGGTGACTGCTATGAAAAAACTAAAAATGCAAAAACTCTTGTATTTTGTTAGGTTACTTATGGTTATGGGTAGGGCAGGATAGGGGTTAAGGTTGTTATAGTTAGCGTTAGCGTTTTTCCCATTGAAATAAATGAGCGGTCCCCATAAGGATATGTTTACCCTACGTGTGTGTGTGTGTGTGTGTGTGTGTGTGTGTGTATACATCACCCAGGCTGAGGTGTGTGTGTGTGTATACATCACCCAGTGTGAGGTGTGTGTGTGTGTGTATACATCACCCAGTGTGAGGTGTGTGTGTCTGTTTTCAGTGAACTTCAGAGATGGAGGGAGTTTCATTTTGATAATGCTGAGTCAACATGCGTTAGACGTACAAACAAACTGAGTGAAAACAGCATATTTCAGCTGCCAGGTAGCAGCGGTGCTACGTTACTGTAGTCAGGTGGGTTATAGGGTCTTAGTGAATAAATCAAAAACAGTCTGCTGTGTATTCACAAAAAGTTGTGAGCATGTTTTCCAGGTGTGAAAATCTACGAGTGTGTGTGTCGTGTTTATGTATACCTTCATCTCCAAAGTATAGGGGGCTAACTGTCCTGCACACACTTAAATGCCCCGTAGGTGGCAGGCTGGCTGAGGGGCTGCTCGTGTGCAGTCCTCAGTCTTTAGACTGACTTTGCAGAAGGACTGTAGGTGCATTTTCAGCACGGAGCCGGAATTTCCCCAGTAAGCATTAAAACAGTTGCGATGTCTGTTCGCCTGCTTCTGATCCTTCAGCAAAGGGAACAGGCCTCCCAGCCTTAACTGCACTGTCCTCACAAATGTGGACTCGGGTTCCAAATAGCATCGCGGCTAATTGAGTACCCGTGCAGGACAGGGCGTCGTGTCTGCTGAGGGACCGTGCGAGGACTGCGTCAGCCTGAGCAGGCCCAGGGAGCGGGCGATCGGTTTCTCTCTCTGTCCATCTCTTCTCTCCCCCTCCCATTCAGGATGGAGGAGTTTCCCTTCCCTCAGACAGTAGGGCTGTTATTCCCCCCCCGGGCTCTCTCTCTCCACGGCAGAACGAGAGAGTGGTTTCGATCATTAGCCGTGCTCCCCCCTCTCCAGTCCAGTGTGTGTGTGTGTGTGTGTGTGTGCGCGTGCGTGCGTGTGTGCGTGTGCACATGCTCGTTTGCCCATGTGTCTTTGGCAGGGCTTGTTTGACTTGTCAGCCTGATGAAGTGTTTGAACTGGGTGAAGGAGGGGCTCTAGGCCTGTTTATGAGCCGGGTAAATATTATGCTGTTGGTTTGAGGGGTTGTGCTGCAGTGCTCTGCTTGGGTTGGGGGGGTTGAGCAGCCCATGGTTTTCCATCAGTCCCGGTCTCTCTGGTTCCTCTCTTCCTCAGCCTTTCCTCTCACTCTGCGCTCAGCCCCTCAGCTGCTCTCCTGTTCCCCCATCTTTGTCCATGGTGGCTGGTTCTGTTGTTTTTTTTTGCCTGGAAGGGAGTCGCTGGAGAGCACCGCGTTCCTGGAGCTTGGCTTGCGTCGGTGTGCTCGTCCCGGTCTCCCGCGGGCTCCGCTTCCTCCTTGTGCCACGGCCATGTGGGCTTACGGCACCTGTGCCGCCGTGGCGGTCCCCTTCCCGCCGACGCACTCCGGCACCCACCCCTCGGACCCTCCTCACAGCCCACGGCGTCGACACTCTGCGGGAACCGGCAGCATCATGGTGTGCTGGAACTGAACCAGCACGTCTGTCCGCATCTATATGTCAATACGAAGGTAGCGTTTCACCTGAATCCGCAGGACAGGCTTCCCTGCGTCATACCAGCGGCAGTTCGGAATCGGATCATACCCCATCAGTCGGCATGCGCCATGTCGTTTTTTGGGTTTATGATTAACCCGGGCTGTTATCGCACAGAACTTCCTTCACTCGGAACCCATCAGCTTCCAGTGTGGGAATCGTGGGTTCATAGTCTGACAGAGTGGGACGAGGAGCTCGGTGTGACCGGGATTTGGCTGAACTGAGTCCTGCTTTTGACGGTTTCATTAGAGTCTTCATCTTGACCGTTTATGTTGTTAATCGGCAGGTGGTCGAGCCCTGGCTCGGAATTACGCATCTTGGTTTTTGTCTGTGTTGAGGAATCCTGGTCTGTTAAGGGTCTGCTGTATTCACTCACCTTGTCTCCCAGTTCCTTCTTGTCAGTAAGCTTTTGAGTCAGACCTGGTGCTTCTGGAGTAAACTGCTCTCTTTGAAAGTTCCCTCACAGGCCCATGTGCTCATTTCCGTTTAGCCGGCTTATTAATTAATCAGTTTTGATTGAGCCGTTGGCTGTACGACTTGCTCCATTAAATCACGTTTCACCGAGTATCATAATTACTTTCAATTTTGCGTTAATTTTCCAGTGACATTAAACAAAACTGCAGTAAGGAATAATTGTAAGGATGAAAAATGCCTCCTTCTAAATTGCCATTATCTTTCCTCTTAACCAAGCAAGGTTGTTAATTTTAATCAGCAATTGCTTTTTCACTCTTGAACAATCAACTAAAAGAATCATCAGTTACAATACACTTAATAACTGTTTATTTTTGGTAAAATGGGCAAAGAATGTGATCTCAGTCAGACCTGATTAAAATATCATTAGTGTGTAGCAAAAAAAGTAATATCCTGGATGGAGTTAAAAGTGCGGATGCGAGGAGTTTGTTGACTTTGCTTGTTGTCTTGAGCTCATTGCTGCAGGTTCCTGGCAAGCGGGGGGTTATTAAAGGCCGGTTCATACTTCTCCGCACAAGCGCAACATCACGTAGCCACTCTGCGTGTGCCTTCATGGAAACGTTCGTAGTTCTCCGGTCAAGCTGTATACTTTGCACATGCACACAATGTGTCGTATTTATATTTTTATTAATAATGTAAATTATTATTCTGATGTTCCCTGCTTATGTACCTCAGCAGTGAGGTTTGTGTTTGTGTCTCTATGTCTTAAGTCAGCTCACAGGGTTGGCAACTTTGGTCAGCTTGTTGATGACTGATTTTCAAATCCAGACACGTTTGCACTCACATACACACGCGCTTACATGTATGTAACTGTTACCGTGTTAATAGTCTGTAGGGTTTGCAATCTACTCCAACGCTCGTCAAAGGTGTCCATGCCGGTATTTAAAGTGGACGCTAGCGAATCGATCATGCGCGGCGAGTCCGGAGCTGAACACGTACCGCTGCGCGCACACAAATTTGGAGTGCAGCCGGCGTTCGTCTGCGGAGGCGCACGATGACGACAGGCGCGTCATAAACGTTCGAGCGGACATGTCCGCTAGTACGTGTGCGGAGAAGTATGGACTGAGGAGCCTAAGCAGAGCTGCATCGGCTGGCCTGGAGCTCCCAGTGTGGGGGACGCGGAGCGGGGACGAGGAGCGGGGACGCGGAGCGGGGAAGCTCAGTGAAGCGTGTGCTCAGGTGTCGCCGCCCCTGTTCCTCCAAACACCTGCTTCTTTGTCCAGCGGTCAGAGCAGATGGTAGACTGGGGGGGGGGCAGTGTAGCTACACAGCACTCCTGCTGACTTCAAAGGAAGCCGGGAGCAGTAGCTGTGCTCCCAGAGGTTGGGGCTGGAGGGGGGGGGGTCAGGTACAGCCCCGGGGTCTCCGGCCAGACGGGAACTCCGGCGCCGGCAGCTGAAGTTCTGTGTGGCCGCTGTGCTGGGCTCCATTACTCACTCCTGAATCAATACTGGGATTAAGATAAACCCCCCTGTAATGTCTCATTAAGTGAGGTTTTATTAGCCTGGCGGTGGTGCTGTCCTGCGTCCAGCGGCCTTGTTTGCCTTCATTATTCGGCTTGCTGGGTGAGGGCAGGGGTCACTCCTATTTAATTAAGAGACCCGCTGAACCAGCATCCCTACCCTGTTACAAAGAGAGCGACTACTACTTCAGTGAAGAGCGTGCTACTTGAGAGAATTCTGATTGGTTGTTGCTTCCAGGATTAATGGGTAATGTAGTTTTAGTCTGCCTTGAGTGTGCATTTGTAGTTTTTTTTTTTTTAGGTGTTGGAAAAATCATAGACTGCATATGAGAAACGTGCTGAGGCTCTAGGAGCAATGTTGCTGTTCTGCCCATGACCCACGGGACGCTCTCTCTCCCTCCCCACCCCACAGGTACGAGTGCGATGCTTGGGGGACGGGCGAGGGACTGAGGCCATGGGCTGTACCTCGGCCAAGCAGGTGTCGGCCGTGCCCAGCGACGAGGAGGGCCGGGGCAAGGCCTACAGCAACGGGGACCTCTTCAGCGGTCAGTGCAGCCGGCTGCACGCCACCATACTCTGCCAGTGCAGTATCATTCGCCGCATGTCGCGTCAGCCCCGCTGTGGGTCACAGGTGCAAATGTAGGTAAATGTAGGTAAATGTGCACTTTTTAAAGGTTGCGGTGATAATATTCTTACCGGCGCTGATGTCTCCTCGCCGCCCGCCCTGTGACGAGCCGTTTAGAAAAGGCCGTGCTTCGCTCCCTGTGGAAATGCCCACGCAGAACCACCTGTGCAGTGAGACTGGGGGGTGGAGGGGGGGGGTGCTCTCAGGCCAGGCTGGAAAAGGACAGCTCGCATGCAGAGTTACAGCGCCGGTGGCAGGGTCAGTCACCGTAACGGCATCGGTTATACCGAGATGCTGAGGATTATGGGAAAGATTTGGAATTAAGGAGAGTGCAGGGGGATAAACGTCACGGGCGGTGGGTTACAAAAGCCCCCCCCCCCCCACCAGCATGGCTTTAAGCAGCGGATGGTGCTTTTGATCAGAGGCAGAGTGTATTTTTGACAGAGGTGGGCGAAGCTGCTTTCGTTCCCTCTCTCTCTCTCTCTCCCTCCCTCTCTCTCTCTCTCTCTCTCTCTCTCCCTCCCTCTCCCTCTCTGCTCCCACTGACTCCCTGCTTTTAGTTGTCATGCTTCCCTCATTCCCTGTATCTCTACCCCCCTTCTCTTTTGCCTTGGTATACTAGGTATATGTGACTGTGATTGGGGTGTGACGATGGAGCCGGGGGGGTCGGTCGGGTGGGTGGGGGCAGGTTGGAGCCCTATAGCCGCAGGTAGATGGGGTTTGGCTTCTGTCTCAGTACTGCAGGAGGCTGTCAACCTGCCTGCTCTGGGTTATTTCACGTTTTTCCTTGTGCCCCCCCCCCCCACCCCTTTCCACAAGACCAGAGAGGTTAAGGTTGCTGTTACCACTGAGACCCTAAGGGTTTCCGTCTCCCTGCTGTTTCCCCCCCCCACAGGTGGTTAACGGTTGGTTTCCCATGTACCATGTTCACGTCTGGCATTTGAGACCCCATCTCGCCCGATCACCATGCCCTCGGCGCTGGGTCACGCACACAATGGCAGGAAAGGCAGAGCCCCTCCATACAAAGGGGTGCCCCCCCCCACACGCCAGCCCCGGCCTGCATGTGGGACACGCTCTCGGCGCGTGAATCCCAGCAGGGCAGCACCGTGCAGTTGTGCCCCCCCTTTGAGATTCTCCCTGTGAGCGTTTTATCCCATAAATACGAAACCGAGGTGAAAATAGCCATGCCTACCTAAAACATGAAGTGATTTTAATATTATTGTAGTCCAGCCATCTTTATAACTACTTACCCACTCTGGGGAGGTGATGAGCCAAGATTGTTTGCTAGGATTCTCAGGCCAGGCGACATGCAAACAGTATGCCGCACACACACACACACACACACACACACACGTAGGGTAAACATATCCTTATGGGGACCGCTCATTCATTTCAATGGGAAAAATGCTAACGCTAACTATGACAACCTTAACCCCCACCCAGCCCTAACCATAACCATAA